CTGTAGCAAACCCCTACTACTGTGAAATGTTATGACTTGTCGGGTAGCCCTGTCATCTGCCAGACTGTCAATGACTCCATGCTGATTCCAACTGCTCCCACGGGACAAGGGTTATTTCCAGGATGCTTCAGGCCCTGAACACCACAGGGCACAGATGGAAGAAGCCTTTCCAAAAAATCAGCTTTGGCCTCATTTGGACAAGGAGATCGTCGAGGCTGGAAAGGAGCTGACAGATTCTGATGCACTCAGCACTCAAATTACTGTTGCCTCTATCAAAAATAGCAGTTCCAAAGGCTGGGCCCGCCAGCCACGGGGATCAGGGGCAGTCCTGCCCTGGGCCAGCCCGGAGCAGTGCTGAGCAGAGCTCACTCAGATCGCTCTCATCGTTCTCCTCCGGCTTGCTGCTGGAGTGGGAGGGGTTGCTGCTGGGCAAGCTGTGGCCAGAGCCTGTCCTCAGAGATGCTTGCCCCTTTGGGTCCGTACTCGGTGCTGCTGCATCCCGGATGCACATGCTGCCACCGTAGGCAGTTCTCTGGTAGTCTGGCTGGGAGTAATTCCTCAAGTTGAAAAACTGCCCGAGCAGAGATCTCTGGAGGGTTGTTCGCAGGCTTTCACAAGTCCTCTGCTTTGTGCTCAGCTGGGTGTAATGCAAATCCAACTGCAGGACCACATCTGTCTGGAAGGGAAGAGGAAAGGACACAAAGTGAATCGGAGACTGACTTGAAGCAGAGCTTTTTCACTGTTGCTGCTGTTAACAAACATGACAGGTTTGGCTGGCTATTCTGCAGGCTCACAGCTCTATGCTGTGGCATGATGGAGCAATGCTACTGCCAGAGAAAATGAACTGTTACATACCCTCATGACTTTCATGGGCCTGAGCCACAGGTTCTGGATTTCATGACTTCTGAAATCAGACCACCTCACTTGAGACCTCACCAGGTTGGTCAGGGCACTATCACTGACAGCATCACCCCCAAGATGCTGGCGGAGGGGAGCAGAAGGGGAGAGTGACTGCACCCACGCGAGGAACAGCAGGACATCTGTCCTGGCCACAACATGGGACTGCTGCACGTGCAAGAGGAAAGCATGCACGGGGAGGGATATGAACAATGTGTAGGATAAAAAAATCCCACACATTGCACAGTAAAAGCCAACAGTTTTAAACAGGAGCACTCCACAGGGATCCATTTGCAGCCTAGCACTATTTTAGATTTTTATAAAAGATGGTGAAGAAGTCAGAAAATAACCATATTCATGGCAGCTAAGTTTCTGAACATTAACCCCTAGTACGGGGCTGTGCGTGAGATGCCTGGCTGTACAAAGCAGGGAGATGTATAATGGAGCAAGAAGAAGTTTTTGGCAGGCAATGCAGGGTCCAGGTCTCACGTCTGCACTTAAAAGTAATGCTGAATGCCTGGGAAGGGTTGAGAAAAGCTCTCCAGAAACAATCAAGGACTGAAAGAGCTGCCATATGCCAAGGCACATCATGCACTCCGCAAACAGAGCTCGTCATAAGCAGATCCAGGCAGCAGCTCAAGAGCTACATTTGGTGTGAGCCTGCGTGGAGCAGAGCAGAGAAGCAGCTGGCAAGATCCATTGACTGGGTGTAAGAGGAAAAAAAAAAGAAAAAACACCAAGTGAGAAACAAGGTGCACACTGCTATTTGCAGAGAAATAATCTGCTGGAAGAGACAAGCTAGGGGACTAGCAATTCTGCCTCTCTCATGGTCTTTTAAATAGTTTGAGAGTTTTTTGAAGTGTGCCAGAGAGGCATAGCTTGGATCAGGCTTGGTAGTGTCACCCTGATGGCAGGGGATAAACTCTCCCTCTGCTCAAGAACCTGACCAGTCCATGAGCCCATCTCTCAGACAAGCATACAGCCTAGTGAGACATTCTTCATCTGAAATATTGGGGCTAGTCTGATCTCCCCTAGGCCGATATAGGCAAACAGTGCCCCTGGCCCGGCAGCATGTAAGGACAGAGCAAACCAAGAAAAAGGGGATTGCTTTTGTGCCGTGCAGATCAACAAGCTCCTCCAACATCGATCTGGATGTTACACTTACACAGACATCCCAGGCATCATACGCACGGAGTCACAAGACATGTGGTCAGAGGGGCGCATCTAGCTTGAGGCAGTGGGAATGGAGAGTACCAGTTAGCTGAGGCTGCAGGAGAACTGCAGAGATTTACACCTGGCAGTTCTCTACCTGGATTTTCTGTAGTCCACAGATCTGGAAGATGCAGTCCAGCTCCTCCTGCTTGTACACAGAAGCAAGCAGAGACTCCACTTGGTCCAGGTGACTCTCTTCCAGGATGGCCACGTCGTTCATCTCCCGTGTTAGAAAAACAAGAAGAAACGCAAGGAAATTTCAGCATCAGACTGGGCATGGAGGCACAACTGCCCATCAAACACACAGCAATGCCTGGGGCTGGCCTGTGCCCTTGACACTGGCTGGTGGAAATGCTGCCTACCCTCATGGAAGTACTACAGCGTGCAAGCAAAGGAAATACATGGATTTTATACACCCACATTGTGCATACCAATGGGAAGACCTAGCTAAACATCCCCCTAAGGGCGTCTACCGGGAAAACTGCGGTATAATAGGATTTCCAGCAATGTAGATAGCCATAACAGCTGGGGTCATAACCATCTGTAGCATAAGCAGTGTGTTGAGGAGGGAGCAAGTTTCCCGAGGGCATAACTGGAGGAAACTCTGGGTTGTGCCCCCCACCACCTACATAACTGTCAGTTCTTGCTCAATTACTGAAACTTATCCAAAACAGCTCCATCTCTGTGAGAACCTCTTCAATAACAGTCTTATCCTGGAGCTACAAATTGCACAAGAACAGAAAAGGGAATAGGTCCCTTATGAAACAGGATCTTGCTTTAGATTTGAGCCCTCTAGGATGGGTGACAGTCCACAGTCCACCAGTCTCTTCCATGCAAAGACACTTCCCTCTGCCAGTTGGGTCTGGCGGCTACCATGGCCCGAACCTGCTGACCCGCCTTGGCCAACACTAGAATGTGCTGGCCTAGCTTTGGCCATGGGGGCTGAGCAGCCCAGGTGGGGTCACTGCAGCTACACATAAAGCTGGAGGCACGTAAGGAGGATCCGACCCATGCAAAACTTTCCCACCATCAGCAGAAGTTGCACTGGGTGATGAAGGAGGCTGTTAGGACATTGCAGGGAAGCAGAGCTTAGAGAAGCCCTGGAAGCTCTTGCTAGCCTTTACAGACTTTCCCCAAAGTGTTGCCTACAAGCAGCCAAAACAGTTTGTTTCTGGCCAGGAGAATATCTGGGGTAGAAGCTAAAATGTTGGATCACAAACACTGGTTGGGATCTGCAGGTATCAGGGTCACCCCTGCTTGCAAGGCTGGCAGAACAGGAGCAAACACTAGTGCTGATCCAGTAGGTCCGCTGCAGGCAGGCTGAGGAAATACCATTTATCTCTGTACAAAGCAAAGCCAAATCCCATCTCCGCACTTGGCAACTCATTACTGAAAAGATAAACTGGACGGAGCTTAGGGAAGATCAGGGCAGTGAACAGAGCTGGCAGAAAGAGAAATGGGTGTGCCAACAAGGGGAGGTCACAGCTCACAGGGGGATGGAGCAGTTCTCCTGCTCAGGAAGCCTCCTCTGGGTTCCTTCTACCAGCCTGAACTGTGCCTGAAACAGAAGTCAGGCTGCAACACAGAGCACCTTCTGCAAATGAACACTGCCCTCTCCTTCCCTGGCACACTGCATCAGGTCCCTGCTGCCAGCTACCCTGATGCCGCCACTGCCACACTGAGCCCATCAGCCAGTTTAAACTAAACCTGGAGACCAAAGAGAGGGACACAAAGCAGATCCGCCTGCACGCCACTAACACAGGACTGTGGCAGGAGGGCTGCAAAAAGGAGCGGAGAGGCCCTACTGCGTCCAGACAGCTCCATCCTCCAGCACATGTTTTAGGAAGGATAGGATGTGCATGCAGACAGCCCTGCCAGGGTGAGCCTACCCTGTCAGCCTCCTGCCACGGGCAAATTAGCAACTCTGAGTCAAAGGTGGCTCTTGTGCTTTCAACAGCCTTTATGGACTCTTATGAAGGTGTTATTTTTGAATCCTGCGACGCCTGTAATACCCATGACATCCTAGTCACTAGGAGGAAAATAGTCCATGGCCAGAAGTCCTCCTCAGTCACCCCACCACTAGTCCCCTCTCTTCCTCATGTCTCACGATGCCGTGACGCTCTCCTCCAACCTTCTCTGTAGACACCTCGCTGCCATTTCTGCAGTCTTTTGACTCCTGCAGTCCTGCCTCCTCCTGGTGCATCCCCACACCTGCAACCTCTCCTACACTGGCTCTTCCTGGGATTCATCAGCCTGTTGGAGCCGGGGTTGGGCCACATTCCCTTTTGTCTCCTGGTAGGCACAGCTGTACTCTGGATGAGGTGACCTCTAAGTGCCTGCTTTTGCAATTGTGTTAGCAGCCTTTGCAGACACTGTGAATCTTCAGTGATTAACATCCCAGGGCAGGGATGCTCAGATCTGTGCTAATGCACTGGACTCTTATCCCAAACGTCTGTTTATTGCTCTGCAATTTTGAGACCCTTGAAGTTGGGCCACCCTTTTTTTCAGCCTAAGAAATACCCGGTGTACTGCAGACATGACTAGCACAAACATAACAATATTCCATCACAAGTTAAATCACATCTCATGAAAAGCCAAGCAGCATCAGGAAGTTTGGATGGGGTGAACCACACAACCTCCCCAGATGGAATGAAGCCACTCCCAAGTGCTGAACATCCAAAACAGATGTGGCATTTCTCCCTGGCAGAGACCTGGGAGCATCCTGAAGTGAAGGAGCAAATGGTCAGCACTGTGGGGAAATGCCCAAAGTCCCTTCGGCATCCACACAGGGAAAAGCTCCCAGCAGTCCAAGAGATTAATTGATTAAATGACTGCATGGTTAAATGATTTGGGATTTGACAGCCAGCCACGTGCTGCTGACTTGCTTCTGCACGTGAGCCTGCACCCTGTTCCTGAGGCACGGACCCTGCAGAAGGGACCAAAGGCATTGCGTGGCCCAGAACACACAGATTTGGTGACACACGTCAGGCCTGACAAATGCAGTCCAGATGCTCTAAGGGGTACACACGGGTGGTGATTCTGCAACACCCTTAGGCAAAACCCCTCCCAGACATTCACCCTTTTTACCATGAAAATGTCATGTCCAGCCTGGATCTTCCTTGCTGTAATTCAGATCACAACTTCCTTCCAGCCTTGCTAAATCACGATGAACAATATCCACTGCTCTCCCCTCACCCACCGCGTTAGTAATTTCATCACAGGTGGCTACCAGGTTATCAGGCATGGCCTCCCCTTTGCAATCTATGCTGACTGCTCCCAGCTATCTTCTTGCTGTACTTGGGGATGGCTTCAGGATTATTGGCTCCATCACCTTTTCAGGGATCAAGGTGAGGTTGACAAGCCTGTAGTTCCCCAGATCTTTGTTCTAAGACCTCTGTGAGCTGATGGAGAGTGGCTTCGCAGCCTCATCGCCAGCTCCCTTAGCACTCGTGTGCATCCCATCAGGTCCCATGGATTTGTGAGTGTCCAGTTTGCTGAAATGCTCCCTGACTTGGTCCTTCTCCACCTGGTGTAAGTCCTCCTTGCTCCAGACCTTTTCCCTGGTCTCAGAGTCCTGAAGCTTGGTCTGACCAATAAAGACCAAGGTGGAGAAGGCAACAAGTACCTTCGGCCCCTCCATGCCCTGTGTGAGCAGGGACCCTGCCCCATTTAGCAGTGGGTCCACATTTCCTCTCGCTTTCCCTTTGCTGCCAGTGTAGAAACTCTTCTTGTCACCATCAGATTCAGCTCCAGGGGTGCTTTGGCTTTCCTAATCCCACGCCTATGTGTTTGAACCACATCTCTGTAGTCCTACGACACTTGCCTCTTGCAGGCCTCCTTTTCATGTGTCAGCTCAGTTGGGAGCCTCCAGCACATCCACGTCAGCCTCCTGCTGCCTTTGCTTGTCTCCCAGTTCATCAGGATCCTTGAAAATCCAGCAGCTCTCCTGGACCTCTTGCCTCTCTAGGGCCATGTCCCACAAGAACACAGCTCTCCAGCCTAGTGACCTTCAAGACATTCAGCTGGGCAAGGAGTGACTAATCTCCAGGGATCAATTAAATCAATTAAAGTCCTGACACGTGTGATTCAAAGTCCCTTGGCTGACAGCAACTTGTTATCCACAAGTATCTACACTCTGCTAAATTCCCAGCCTTGATAGCCTCCCATGCCAATGACTTCCACAATCTAATTACTTCCTCCCATTAGTCTCCTTTATCATTTCTGGCTGTGTAGGCGCCAGGAAGTGGAGAAAAGGATTTTCTAAATTAATTTTTTTAGCCCATTCATAATTATTTATAAACACTTCCCCATGGTGGAATGCATTTCTTAGTGAAGATGATGCCCAGCAATTGGCAAGGCCGGACTTTTGGCTGACCCAGAGTATGAGATATTGTAAACAAACTGTGGAAAGGATGACTGGAGAAGCCATTAGGCCAAACAGTTCCAGATCAAGTGACTTGAAAACAAGGAGATTGAACATAGAAGTTTTTTTAAAAGTAAGCATTTAAACAGTACAGAGAAAAAAAAAAGGGAATGTTTTAGCTGTCAGCATCGTTCTTTTCCACATATGTCCTAGAGCAACCTCTCTCTCTGAAGACAGTACTTGTGAAGTATAAATGCAAGCCAGGATGCAAGATGGGAGAGAACACTATCACTGGACCACCAAATCAAATGGATCAATGCCAGAAATCCCATCATAATTATCTCTGGCAAGCCCTACAGCAAGCCCAGGCTCTATGCTTAAGTCACTTTGATAAGCAGAATGTGGCATATGGTGGGAAAACTACCTTCACATCCTTTCCTCAACCAAACAGCTCCCTGGGTTCATTCCCCAGGGCTTACAACATGCACCTCACGTCAAGGCTGTTTTTGTTGGCCTTCAGTCTCCAGCTCCTGCATCTCAGCAACACAAGTTTGGTTCAGATGGTCCCCCAGATGCTCCTCAGCATCCCTGAGGAGGCTTGGCACAGTGAGGACGAAGACAGCTTGCCCAGAAAGGAGCTGGGTGCCCTCCTGCAGCCACCTGTGCACCTCTCTGTGGTCCCACAGGCAAGAGAGTGGGTGGCCTCGCTGTGAACGACTAAGGTGGGGCAGATGGACCGCAAGCCAGTGGAAGGATGCGCTGCCACGCCAGCAGACACCACTGGAGGTCAGTGTGAGCTAGCACCACTGTGGAGCAGGATAGGGATGGGGATCCCACTGCTCTGGCTCTACTGGGGTCCCTTCTTGGTCTCTCCAATCCCTCTTGAACCAGCTCCAGAAACAGGAGCAAGCAACTGGGTCCCCCTTTCCCCACAACCGCTGGTGTGGGTTGGATACACACAAACACGTGCAGACACACACACAATTTGCATGCATGGTTAGAGAGCTCACGAGGGGAAACGATGCTCCGGCTTGGTAATGGTCAGGACCAGGCTCCAAACCTCCCGCTGGACACACCACTCTGCATCAGTGACCACAATGTACTTAGGGGCAGTGTCCCTCCACGAGCAACAAGGGCCGAAAAATCCACCACAGTCATGCTACGCTTCAGCAAAAGGACTACAGAAAATGAGGAAGCTGGTTAGCAAAAAAGAAGTAGCAAATGAAATCCTTAGAGGTGGCATGAAAATCACCAGAAAAGACTATGCTGGGCACATGGCCTGTTAGGAAAGGTGTGACAAAGGGTGCAAAACAGTTGGAATAGCACTACCGGGAACAAGTACAGGAGTCACAGATTCGATTCACAGAGTGGTCGGGGTTGGAAGGGACCTCTGGAGATCATCTAGTCTAACCCCCCTGCCAGACCAGGATCACCTGGAGTAGATCACACAGGAACAAGTCCAGGCAGCTTTGGAAAGTCTCCAGGGAAGGAGACTCCACCACCTTTCTGGGCAGCCTGTTCCAGCACTCCGTCACCCTCACAGTGAAAAAGGATTTCCTCATGTTCAGGTTGAACCTTCTGTTTTCCAGTTTATAGCCCTTACCCTAACCCTAATACATTGTTGGTTTAAGGCACATTAGCACAGCAGGCTAAGAAAGCATCATTTAAAAAGCCAGATCTGCTTCCAAACACAGAAAACAGAAAGGCTCTTCATCTCAATTGGATTAAATACAGTAATTTAATCAGGCAGGCCAGAAATCAGTCTGAGGAGTAACTGGTTAAAGACATCAAAACTGGCACTAAATCTGGTTTGTGATGCATTAGGAGCAAGGCAGATAGTCTACAGGGCACTGATGCACCGACGAGGCACTCAAAGAGGTCTTTGCAGAGAGGATTATTTGCATCAGAGGTAGCAAAGAAGGGGATCCTTTTCCACATGGGTTCAGCCTTTCCCAGACCTCACAACCCCTCAGGCTCACAATAACCCTCCTTCCTCCTTTGTCCCAGGGAAAGGAGCCCTGCAGGAACTGAGAGGAAGGGGACTCTCGTCTGCCAGAGGACTCACCGTGGGCGGGCAGAGTAGGAGACGGGTGTCAGCAACGTGGGCTGGGGGTGGCTGCAGCTTGGCGCACACATACATCACGTTGGAGAAGAGCTGGTGGAAGCGGAGCTGCACCTGGGCCCCACAGGGGAAGGTCACCATTCTGTTCATCGGCTCTGGAAGGGAAAGCCCACTGGGGTCAGCTCCTTGGAGGGTCCCACCAACACCTCCCTGCAGAGTGGTGTCCCTGAGGGGCATGGGAATCCCCAGCCCTCTCCTCTCCCCGACCTGGTAGCCCCCCCTGCACCCTGCATGGCTCACCATGGCTACGTCCCCAGTGCTCGGACGCTGCTCCCAAGGGACAGATCGGGTCCGTTAGGGACCGGGCTTCCTTCAGAGTGTGTTTGATCTCCATCACCTGCTTCCCAGTGACCAAGGGATCCCGGCCGATGTCTGAGAAAGAGATTTTTGGGGTGCAAGTGTCAGTCCACGTTCTTTGTTTATCACCCTGCCCTTCAGACCATCCATCAACACCTCGGGACAGGTTACTAGGAGCTGGCACAGGGCACGGTCTGAAAATCGTTTTTTTAGGAACAGGTGGCTGGCTGGCATGGCTGGGATAGAGTGGCGTGGAGCCGTTCAGTTTCTGCTGATATGTCTTTTCACCCCTGCTACTAAAGCAAGTGGTTTCTAGTTCATGCCTTACCTTCTAACACATCCTCCAGCATGTGTGTAACCTTCTTCTCCTGCAGAATATGTTTCTTCAAATACTTCATGAAGATCCCAGAGCTGAACTCCCCATCCTGTAATTCATAGGCTTCTGCATCTTCGCTCCTGCAAGAGTAAAGACTTGTCCTCACCTTTCTGCGACAAAACAAACCCCTGGGGGTGACTCAGGGCTTGACAACTCCATCCAGACTCTGTTGGCCGAGTCAGAGTCAGCTTCTCATGCAGTCTCACAAAGTGCTTGGTTCCGGACCAGGAGAGAGTGGGAAGGGCATGGGATGGGAAAAAGCAGCAGAGGGACAGGAGAGCACAGACTCTTTTGCCAGCCTAGGTGCATGACAGCCGCTGAAAAGACAGCAGAACTGGCAGTGGAGCAGTAAGCAACACTCATTCTCACCTCAGGAGGTTTCAGGTGGCACACATACCTTGGAAATCAGGCTTAGGCATGGAAGGACAGATTACAAGAGCTGATGCCACCTCCACACATAACCTGTAACTGATGCACAGGCTGCCACTAGTGATGTCAGGAGGAAGAAAAGAAGTGTCTGAATGGGAAATGCTAGAGATGGCGGGTGAGAGCCAAACGAAACATAAGCATAGCTCTCTCAAGCCTCAAAAGCCATCATGCATAAAGGGATTCGAGGGGATAGAGCTGTGCCAGCATTCAGTCCTGTGTCACAGGGTGAGGACCCGGCAAAGTGCACTTACGTGGCATAGCCATAAACGGTATTGCCCCAGGGCTCCAGTGGCTGTACCTGGGAGAGGGCACATTCCGGGTTGTACCTGGAAGAGGAGACAAAGCTGTAAGTCAGTGTCAAGGATGTCAGAGTCGAGGACATCCGTCAGCATGTGCCTGGAGGGGACAGAGCCCGTGTGCTCCACCAAATCCATTTCCTGTGGGGGGCAATAAGATCAACCCTCATGTCAGATATGCTGACCACCAAGTGGTCAGCAACAGAGGCTAAAGGTAGGAGTCCTACAAAGAACCCAAACCACGGGAAAATGAGTAGATAGGGCCAGCATTGACCTGCCCGCAATGGTGAGCTGCTCCCAGCCCTGCAAGTGAGCCTGGAGCTGTGGGTGCAACCAGGCCTCCTCCCTCACAAAGCTGGATTGTCACAAAACCAGGCAGCAGCACAGTGCAGAGCACAGGCGGGTGCACACTGCACAGCTATGGCTCAACCACCTGTCCCAGTGGTTTGGGGTGCCCCAGAGCTCCCTTCCAGACCATGCACACACCTTCTGCCCCAGGACACCAAGGCATGCTACGGCTGATACACCCCCAGATCTCACTTAGAGATGGGATCAGGACAGGCACTCAGCCCTCAAAGCCCCAAATGAGCACAGACCCTGTTATTTCCAGGTTCAGATAGATCAGTCTGTCTGATCACTAATCACTGGGGTGATGGCCCTGGTTTCCTCCAAAAAAGATATCATGGTCGCACTTAACAGCCAAGCCTTGCCTATCTAACTGCAGCCAGATTGAACAGTGTGTGGACCAGCTGCCTCCAGTTTACACCACTGAGCTGGAGCCATTCCCAGTTACACAGGGATAAGAGCCAGACAAAGGGGTGGTGTTATTCCGTGTTATTCAGTTCCGGCACAGTTTGCTGGGGCTGAAGCTGGCACACTAAGGAGAGCAGAAGGGACAGTTGTATCACCAGCAGCCAGCACGTTACCTACTGCTGGTGGCACAGTCTGGAAGTGTTTAATGGCAGTATTCATCTGGATTGTGTAAGTTTTTTAAAGAAGCTCAGAAGAGAAAATGTGGAAAAGAAGACAGGCTTCTAAATAGGAACACGGAGCAGAGAGGTTTAGCGGCCCCTCAGGTGCTCCTTAATGAATGTATAAATCTGGGATTCCAGGTCTGACAAGGAATGAGACAGAAGATCCCAAAATAAGCCAAGGTCCTGTTGTGCCCCACTGGGGACACCCACCCAAGGCTGCGCAGACACGAGTTGATGCAAACCTTTTGTGACGGCACCAGCAGGCATCCACAGCTCTGGCAAGGCTGGAGCTGCACACAGTGGAAACGCTGGCTGTGGTCGCCTGCCCCAGCAGACAAGCTTCAGCAGGGGCATTTCCAGACCACGACGTGACAACAGAGGAGGTGGCAGCACTCCCTTCTGCTGCAGGCCCCCAAAAAGCCTCATTTATACAGCACATCTCATGAAACCCAATTCTAATCTCTTAGGAGATAGTGTCCTTCTGCCCTAAGAGCGGCACACGCTAGAAATCCCCATGAATTCCTGAAAGAGGCAAATCACATACACCCAACATCAGCACATAAATGTACGAGGCTATGCACAGGCTCCGTGTTACTGGTTCCTCCTCTGCTGAAGCTGAACATCTGATACCACCTGGCAAAGGAGGATGTGTTTCTCATCACCCTGGCATTTCTGATGCCGACATATGGGGTGAAGAGATACTTCGGGTGGGATCTCCCTTAGCACAGACACAGCTCCTCCCAGTTCATGCACAGTTGGGCAAACCGTCAAGCGACCCACAGCACCAGTGTGACCAAAAGGGCGTTGGGAAAGGAGGCCCCAGGAGCCCTGTTTTAAGGTCTAAATACACGCAACTATGAAATCTAAACTCTTTGCTGAGCTGAAACGGTGACTCCTCAAGAAAAATGAGCTCAGGAGAGAGCTTCTACAGCAACCCCCCACGAGCCCAGTGATAACGCCTACTGCACTAAGTGCTGTGCTTGCTGTGGGAAAGAGGAGGAAAGAAGTGCGAGATCTTGGGGCGGGAGAGAAAAACACCCGTACAACCATGCCAAAACATCACAGCAGAGCTCACGTCACATCCTTTTCCCAAAGCACCGTTAAGACTCCACTGAGCACAGAAACTGCTGGCAACACCAAGAAGGAGAGAGCAGCTCAAAAGCTGTTTTACAGCTGCCGTTCACAGTAGCAGTCCCCATGCAGCCTCCCCATCACACACTGCCCTCGGACAGGCTACCAGCAGCTCAGAGGCACGCTGGCCCACTTCCACCAGTCCATTCATGTGGTAGGTTAATGGTTGATGATCTTAAAAGGTCTTTTTCAGCCTAAAAGATTCTGAGTCTATCCACACAAGCCACGTGCTCCTGCTCAACTGCAAGCTGTCCCCCACTGGTATCGTGCTGGGGAGAGCAGCAAGGTGCTGCTGTGTGTGCCAGAGGGGTATTAGGCAGCACAGGGAAGCAATTTGCTCTGCTCTCAGTGGCAGTGATGAGCAAGAGGGAGGGAGGGGATGATTTGATATGGAGCATTCAGGGCAGGTATCAAGGGACACCAAGCTCCAGCAATGCTGGCAACTCAGAGCTGCCGCAGCAGTGTAAGTTCCAGCACAGCCAGCTTGTAAGCTATTCAAAGTGTGTGTTCCTTCCTCTGCAGCTAAAAGGCATCAAAGATTTAACATCTTTCCAGGGGCTGGCAGCTCTTTCAGGGCAGCGGTATCAAGATCCCTGTTGTCTTTCTGGTTCTTAGTGCAGGAACCACACTAGGAAGAGGGAGACTTTTCTGCATTTGCCCTCTAGGTTTTTTCTGACCTGTGAATCTGCCTCAGGAGACCTAAATAAATGAACAAATGACAGCTTCTGCTGGAAGAGTCTACCTACCTCTGCTGAAAATGGACAAGTAGTAATTTTCTGCAGCACACAAGCTGTAGGATGGAGATCTGTGGGCCAAGGGAGGATGATGGGCTTTTCACAGACAGGGGGAAAAAGCTGATCCCTGACTTCAGCAGCACCAGCCTGGGTCCCACTTCATGACATGACTGCTTCAGAAGGATTTAGGGCCAGGAAAAACCAAGTAGCACAGCTTAAAATATTTTCCCCATAATGCTGCACTCCTCTCACCGAGATCTTAACAAAAACGCAGCCAAGAGAAGAGAGGTCAGCTAAACAGTCCCAGTCTGAGCACATGGGCAACACGTAACATGAAAGCATGTTACGAGGTTAGCGAGGTTATGAGGTTAGCGAGATGCTGCTACAGCCTGCCAGGTCAGGTGGTTCAGTGCAGGGGGTCAAAACACAGAAAGACAAACCCTGTGCTGAGTTTCAGACAGTTTATGCCAGGGCAGAGCCAGCCCTCTGCAGGCTTTAGGTGACTCGCTCTAATAGGCTTTGCCAGGCTTCTTCACCCCAAAAAATCAAGAGAGTGTCTCCAGCCCCTTCTCTCCAGCAGATCTCAGGCAGGATCTGACGCTCTCTGCAGCTAGCACGTGACCAACTGGGCTTCCCAGGAGACCCTGCAAGACCTCGCAGTCTTGATGATTTTATGACAAACCCTGATAATCTGACAGAGGCCTGGGCTCAGCAGCACAACAGGGGACAGGCACCCATCAATCCACGTGAACACTACGTGGTTGTGCAAAGCCCACTGCTGAAGCAGGGGCTGAGGCTGGCAGCCATTTCCCCTGACCCCTCGAAATGCCATGCTCTGCTCATCCCAGGCAAGGAAAGGGAAGAGCTCCCTACCATTTCCTACAGGTGTCCAGCAGGATGAGGTTCAGGGCTGTCTGCTGCTGCTGCATCTTCTGGAGGATCCTCTGCACGCTGATACAGTTCTCAGGGGCATAGGGTTGTGGAGCATCAATAGGGACCATGTAGTTCCTCCCCAAATGTTCATACCCGTGACCAGCGTAGTAGAATATAGCTAGGAACAGGGAGAGAAGAGGACGAGTCACGATGCGAACGCACAGGTCTGTAACCCACGGCCATGTCCACCCATCCTGAAGGGATAGATACTGGTGCAGGACAGACCTAGCCCAGTAGCACCTACAAAACTATGTTGACCTCATAGTTTTGATTTTTTTTCCAGTCCATTCCATTCAGCAGAGCTGGAAGCAGCTTTGAGAGGCTCTCCTGTACTTGTGGTTTCCAGCACAGTTTGTCAGGAGAGCCCAAAGTCACTGGGATTACACGTTTCCATAACCATCTGTACTAAAGCACCCAAGCTCGGTATCTGCCAGGCTGAACGCCACCTTTGTACAAAGTTTCAGCTAATCATTAGCTCTTTGCATGAATATGACAACAAAGCATTTTACCACGATGAAAGGCACATTAACAGCCTTTTAGATGAGAAGCTCCTCAGGTTCTTAGTTTTGGAGAACAGACTAGCAGTGGTTCAGCTTTCAAAGGTATGCCTGTATTTACACACCTATAAGCTGGTAAAAAAAAAGAGATATGGACAGAGAAAGATGAGTTCTCCAGATGTCCAGAACATGTGGATCACATGTTCCAACAATCTCAGACCAGACACCAGCCCTGTAAGGTGGGAGAGGAGTCAGACTCATCTAAGTGCTGGTGGGCAGTCCAACACCCAACAACAATCTTGGTTTTGAGTTCTAGTCTTAAGCATATGAAACTTAATGATTTCTGCCTTTGTAAGAGAAGACAACATGGTGACATCCTGTTTGGAAAGTCAGCACTGAGCAGCTCATCATGGCCCAAGGCAGTGCTTCTCTCCAACCTCTGTGTTTGGTGAAGGGCTTTCCTTCTGCACAGGGGTCCCTTTGTGGGCTGTAGCATCCTGAAAGGAAGCTGCACGGTGTCTGGCTACCACTTCCCAGCACTGATGAGACTGCTCAGGGGATGCTAGCGAAGCCAGCTTGGGGAACTGAAAAGGGTTAAAAATAGCTTTGCAAGGTGACACAGTTGCACTACCACAATCGAGGGACAGTGAAGAACAAGAGGTCAGAAATGGGAACAAGTGGTCAACAGGCAAAAGCAGAATTTTTTCAGTCAGATTCACTGCCAAAGCTCACACTTCAATGAGTAACCTCTCCTCCATTCTCCCTCCACTGTTACTGCCCCTGCAGTTTGAAGGATGCTTGCTTTGATCTCTGATGCCACAAGGGATGAGGTGAATGGGGCAGGAGCTGAAGGACTCGTGAAAGCACGATCTCATTATGTGGAGGACGGAAAGCATGATCTCATAGTAAAAAAGGCCTCAAGCCAATTTCGGTTTCTGTTCTCAGGGACATCGGAAAGTTACTCAAACGGCTGTTTTCACAGGTGCCCACGAGGTTTGGGTTCCTCTTCTTGTGGATCGCCAGGCAGAGAGAGTGGGCTCTGATTTGCAGAAGTTTTAAACTTTCATAACTTGCTAATCAAAGCCACAAAACCCTCCCCTGACACTATAAGAGAGTATTAAACAGGAAGCCTTCTGGAAAAATCAGACGCAGGCACTTGAGGTTTGGCCCCTCAACTCACTGGGCACAGATGGCTTTCATCCTTCTGCCTCCCTTCCTGTATACAAAAGGGAAGTGATGACATCCGTTACCACACAGCGTCACTGACGCCTGGAGAAAACTGAAATATTACAGAAAAGCCCACCAAAAAATCATTCAGTCCTTAAACCTTCTAACTTTGGTGGTCTTGTTGTGCACTCTGTTGTGTTCCCCGTGCTATATAAACCACAAAGACTCAAGTCCAAAACAAAAAACAGAAGTTTCACACCAGCTGAGCAACTTTGCAAACCTCTCCTGGACTTAGTCTCTCCTTCTGAACAGGAAAGTCAACAGTTTCCCTGGAGAAGGAAAGAGGGTTTTTATTCCAAACTAATATTTTGACCCTCTTCCCACATCTCACGAGTGAAAACTGCTGATCAGAGACAAGCTTCTGAGCACCAAATTAAAAAGGGGAAGTTCCAGGCACTGCTAATAATTCAGGAAATGTCAGCATCTGGCTTAACTAAGGCATGACGGCATACTGCTAGTATTTCACTCACAACTTTCTGCTCTTACCACATTTCTGACATTATTTTTTTGACTCAGGACTTTTTAGGGCACTCAAAATAACATCCGGGGGATTCCTCATTCGCCTAAGGGTTGCATAATTAAACTATTCAGGGGATGTCTGGGGCCTTCAAAAATCCTCTGCAGTTTTTCTGAGAGATCATCTGGAGGAAAAGAAGCCAGATGAGCCACCACCTCCATATGGTAAATCAGAGAAGCCTTTGGATCACCTCAAATGTGCAGCCATACAATATCCCTGTACCTGAAACCAAAGCCAGGTTTTGCTGTGGGCTTGAGAAATCTCAGAAAAGGTTCAGTAATAAGAAGGACAAGTCCTGCACAGGGGCAGATAACCCCCAGGCAGCATTTTGGCAGGGGCTGAGCACTGGTTGAGTAGCAATTCTGGAGATAAAGGCCTGGGGTCACAGCAGACACCATGCTGAAGATGAGCCAGCATTGACTGGGGACAGAGCTGCGCTAGGAGATGCAGGACTGCCAGGAAAGCTGTAACTGCTCTCCTTTGTGAGAAAGAAAACTGTGTCCACCTTTAGGTACCTCAGTTCAAGAGCAAGGTGAAAAAAGGCTACAGGGGCTACCAAGATGTTGGGGCACAGGGCCTGGGACAAAAGGTGGAAGGAGTTGGGCTGGGATGGTCTGGAGATGTGCAGGGAGATCTAACAACAGCCTGCAGTTCCTGGAGGGGCAGTTACAGAGAAAACAAAGCCCAGTTCATTGTTGATGTGGACCATACAACATGGGGCAATGAGCACCGACCCATGGAGGGTCATGTTTTACAGGAAGAAAGATTTCCCTGTAGGGTGGTGCAGCCCTGGGATGGGCAGGTGGAAAAGAGGGGGGGGGGGCCATGCCCAGAAGTCTTCAAGACCTGATAAGGAGAGCTACAACCAACCCTGACCTTTTGTTGATGACTCCGAAGTCTCTTCCCACCAACCCCTGCAGGACTGAAATAACAGAGAGGTCAGTAAGGACACACATGGGAGGGCCAGCCATCCAGAGAGCCCTGCAATAAGAGGCCTAGCGAGGTCAGACACGTCTTCTTCAGTCCTTATCAGTATCCTGACACTAAATAAAACTCTAGAAGCAAAACCAAGCACCATTTTGTTGATGACTCCGAAGTCTCTTCCCACCAACCCCTGCAGGACTGAAATAACAGAGAGGTCAGTAAGGACACACATGGGAGGGCCAGCCATCCAGAGAGCCCTGCAATAAGAGGCCTAGCGAGGTCAGACACGTCTTCTTCAGTCCTTATCAGTATCCTGACACTAAATAAAACTCTAGAAGCAAAACCAAGCACCATG